GGTCAACTGATAATTGACAAAAACAGCACAACATAAAAAAGTGTGCCCCCCCCCTTTTTAGACATTTTCAGGAAATCCCATGATAAGATCAAAACTAGCAATGTGAGCGGCACATCTTTGTGCTCTCTGAATTTTCTGTCGTGGGCGTCGGCGTCAGTGCTGCAGAGGCCCACGCCCACTAATCTTTGTCAAAGACAAACAACGTGTGACATATTTATCTTGTTTTATTTATTTATTTTTTTAAAAAGGGTTATACCCTTGGGCATATGCACTCCTGCTTACTCTGTTTTAGTTAATGTTAGCTGCAGAATGATAAAATAACATAATTCAGAAACACAACACAGTGTGTGTGCTCGCTCTAATAAAGGAAGGTGTGTGGTTCCATTTTATTTTTTTTTAATTAAGGGCAAGCATTGTATCTGCTATATGTATTTACATTATTGTTGTTGTTTTTCAGAATCAATGGAGGTCTATTGCACAAGATGAGCATTATCATAATTTACCATAATTGATCAGTTTTTAAAACTTAGCTAAAGACTTTTCCTTTTCCCATTGCTTTTAATTGATATGGCAACATTACCATTACCTTTAAAATTCTACTATGAGTTTATTTGTGTTTTTGCATACTTTCATTGCAGTTCATACATCATAGATTCCAGTGGCCATTCATCCGTACATTAGAAAATCCTTTTGAATTGCCCTTGTGTGTAAAATGTGCTATGCAAAGTAACCTGACTTGCTCTGCTTGTCTCTTCACAGTTTTGTTGGCAAATAGAAAAAAACAACTAGACTCATCTGATGAGAATAAACATGAAAAGTGCCCTCACCTGCTGTGGCTCAGTGGGAGGAACACTTACATCCACTTGATCTTCACTCTGTGTCTCTTTTTCTTTCTCTTCAACAGTCTCAGCTTCAGCTTTAGGTTCTGTTTTCTTTTTGAACAATTTGCCAAAATGACGACGACCTCTTTCTCCTTTGCTTTTCTTGACCTCTTCCTTCTGGGTGTTGGTGTCAGGGTCTTCAGAAACGGCTTGGATTTTGGTGTCAGAGGCTTCAGAAACGGCTTGGATTTTGGTGTCAGAGGCTTCAGAAACGGCTTGGATTTTGGTGTCAGGAACTTTAGAAACAGCTTGGGCAATATCAGGTTGACACTCTGATTTGACGATCACATCAGTTGATTTTATGGCAGAGTTTAAAGAGTGGGCCTTGCCATTTTGGCAGACTGTAGTTTCACTTTTACCTGAAAAATAAAAAAGTGGCAAAATAAGCAAAATGCCACATACAGGAAAAACATTGAAACAAAGGACTGAAACTATTGTTAAACCCAGGCTAAATTTCTTTTTTTTTTTCAGGAAAAAAATTACTATAAAATAACAGTTGGACATATATGCTTAAAGACCAGGCAGCAACATTTTACCACTGGGTGTGTTCAGATGTTTTCAGATGTGTGGTGGTGCTTTTCCTTTCTTTCTTTCTGTCTTTCTTTGGATATTTTGCATTTTGCCAGGCTGCCATTGTAAACAACAATAAATTACTTGTCTGTTTAAATAAAGATTACATGGACTTACTATACCACCTAGTGGTACAAATTGGCATTGCATGAAAGTGCAGCCCAGCTCTAGTTACATTTCAGTTGATATCTCTTCAACACAATATATAGAGATTTTAAACCCAAAGTCTTAACAAGTGCATCACGTCATAGCTTTAGTTAATTTGGGGAAAGTGTTTTGTTACTTTTAACTAAAGGAAACTACATTAAGCACCTTTATGGACACCGACAAACTCAACAAAGTGATCCTCAAGGCCCATAAATCTGGAAATTGTGGAGCTTGGCGAAAAATGTCAAAGTCATGTGAACTCATAGATAATGCTTCACTTTGCGTCCATGATGTGCTAGGCAGTAATAGGAGCACATTCACCAAAGGCTAATACCACAGCAATGCAACATGGAACGTCAAAGCACATCATTCCTGTTAAAATGTATCAGTTCCTCCCTGCGACATCTGGACCTGGCAACATCATTTGTTGAATCTTGTAAATACTGCACATAGTTTTTTTTTTAGCTTTGAAATATTTATTTAATATTTTGCAGCTTGAATGACACACCTTATTACACCTTAATTAAATGTCTATTACAAAGCGATTTCCTGATTCTGATTCTGGACCTTTTCTATGAACTTCCACCTTAACAAACATCCCCCTAATGAGTCAGCTTAAAAGGGTCAAAATGAACATTTCTGGGTTTTATGGAATTTATTTTTAAACATAAGTGTCATTTTGTTTAGTATTAGCCCATAGAGTGATTTTTACTTCTAGCTTAAAGAGAATTTCAACAGTTGCCATAAAATTCAGCAAAATTTCCACGAGCTAGTAAACACGGGCAAGTCAGTGTGAGAACGTTATCTCAGGAATCAACAGTCAAGAGCCATGGGAATCCCACAGTATTTTATTTTTATAGTGAAGACACAAACCACCACACCTTGACAAGTCAAATACTTGCTCCTTGTTAATTCCTGAGAAAACACCTGTGGTTTACTCAGACACCGTGCAACTGGGAGTCACTGTGTTTGCAGAGTATTAAAAGGATTAAAGGATTAATCACCACTAATAAATTTGTAAAATTAATTTGCTTTTTTTCATTGAAGGAGAACCGTAAAGTATATCAGCATAAAGCGTGATACAGTAAAACACAACAGTCTGACATTAATAAAATTCATTCTTAAGTAAGAATTTAATTTGCCAGTGTTGAGCATTGATTTGCTCATGCTTTACAGTGGCACCACCACTGTAGATCAGGCAGAACATCATCACAGATTGCTTGGATGTTATTTATCCTAAGAGAAATTAAAAATAAAATAAAACTCATGTACCATTAATCTCCAGTCCGCCAGACGTGACTTCTATAGAGATGCCATTCACGGTTCCATTCTCATGCTTTTCAGGAATTGTCCCATTCTGTGAGTAAATAACAACGTCAGCATTGTGCTTTCTAGTCTAGATGGGTTATCTTTAAAGAGAAGCAGAGTTTTTTTCACCTGTCACCTGTGCATGCTAGAGTTTTGGAAAAGTGTGCATCTTGTGACTGATGTCAACAAATATAGAAAATGGCACGTGCAACTTTTAGCCTGTAATGTCTGCCATGTAATTTGCATTGTTTTACCTTGGATAGCTCTTCTATGTTTACTGACTGCTCGTTTCCCATCTTTTTCCCAGTTAAGATCTGCAGGTTGCAATAGAATTAAATGAAATAGAAATGTCATATTGTTATGTTGTACTGATAAGCAAAGACAATCTGCAAATAATGGTTAACATCTATTAAGACTTTTGCAAAGCCATTTAAACATTTTAATACTGCTTTCAGTGAAATGTCTTACCTTGTTACTTGACTTCCTTCTTAAGGATACGGCGTGTCTGTCTGAGATGGACTTCCTCCTTTTGCCCAACTATGTATATAGACTTTTGTTAACTGGACACTTTATGTGTGTGTCAAAATGGGTGGGCCTGTTTTCAAGTTGGCAGCTGGATTTCCTCTGGAAAAAAAAGAAAGTGCGCTGTATTGGTACTTTGATCAACTCACAGTAATCTCCATGTGGCATCCTGAACATACCCTGACGAGATCATAATGAGGTGTGAATCTGTCCAAGCCTGCTGTGATAAGGCGGTCCAAACAGTTTGTTGACCAATCTGGCGGGGACCTAACAGGATGTATATTAAGGATACTGGTCTGGCAAGCATCCACACTGACAAAACCCAAAATAACTATGTTGGCACTGGTTAATTTGAAGATAACACTTTAAGCATTTTTTCTTACTGATTTAGTTTTTAAAGATGCAGTTGATTGATAAAAAATAAATCTAATCACACAGATGTGCTTTAACATACCCATTATGTTGTTTTGGTATTATGTGATAAAAAAAAGAAAAGAGGTCATCAAGGCGGGTAACAAGTTAGATACTATTGTTTATCAGTGTATGTCAATATGGTATTGAAGATGAACTCATCTTTATGTTTTTTTTTTGTAACTAGGCCATGATAATGCTGACAAAGGCTTTTGTTTATTGGATTTAACTTCTAGAAGTCATTTGACTCCTGGAAGATGTCAACCAAAGTATGTGAAAGCGTTTTATCACAAACAAGCATGCTTAAGAAACAAACTAAAAAAGACTATAACATGTGCACTATTTATTGACTTTATTATGGCAAGCCTTGGAATCCATGAAAACAATGGCTCGACTGTATCCTATAGACTGCATGCTGAGGTGGGAGTTGGATTCCCCTGTTTGGTGACTTCATGCAAGGCCTGCAGCTGAGGGGCCTCAAGAAAACTCTTCATGGTGCACCAACGCGTAACAGCCTACTAGGTATGCTAGTGGCTCCTACAAAGTTAGATAAAGACTGCTGACTTTGAGACAGAAAAACCTGCATATTTATGATTTGTTTTTCACTCAGACTAAAATGCCAGTGATGCTTAAAACTACAGGTGGTGCATTGTAATTCGGTCTAGACAAATATGAATTTCTAGTCTTCTCCCATTACAGATGTATTCATTAAATATTTGAACTTGGGTGCAGTACTGTGTGCAAATATTTACAGAACAGCAGTTCCGGTTGGCATAATAACTTGTTTGGCGTATTGAAATGGTAAATGGCCTGTATTTGTATAGCGCTTTTCTAGTCCCTAAGGACCCCAAAGTGCTTTACACAACCAGTGTAAAGCACGATTGCACATTTATTGAGATAATTACCTACAACAGAACAAAAAAATGGCTGAATTATTTTTTAAATAAGTCAAATTTCAGCTTCTAGATGTAAATGTAAGGGAAAGCATCTTGCGACATATCTAACTATAGTTACCAGAACATGAACTCAACTAAATAAACAAATCAATCACACGAAAACTCAAAAAGAAGGGAAAGAACTAAACAAACAGTTTGAGAGAAGTAAACACATTTTCTGGCCAACTTGTGGGGGTCAAACTCCAGATCAGGCCTGCTGATAGGTGGCAGTGTCGGGATATTTATCCCGCTGAGCGACGCTGCGGGTGAACAGTCGAAGAAGCAAAGATGGCAGCGACCATGAAATCATCCGTGGTAAGCAATATTTTTAAACAAAAATCCACTTTTTTGTCTTGCATATGCGTTACTCTATCGCTGTTTTAACAGGGGATGCAGAAAGAAGGTGGCATCGTGTATGTGTGCGAGTAAGACGCCGAGCTTTCTCACGGCGGTGATATTTGAAAGCGCCGTCACACCCTCGTGTAGCTACCGTAAAGCGATATCTCCTTGGGTTAAAACACTAGCTCGACATACGTTGTAATTTTGCAGCTGTTGTTCGTGCGAGCTTAACAACTATGTGGTGAAACAATGAGCTCAATATCCAGATCAGGGCAGTGGCCGCTGCAGGTGATGGGACACCCAAGCTAGCATGCTAGCAAACAAAATAAAAATCGGCCTGTAGTTAACTGTCTAAGAAACGACAAGCTAAAGCAGTATATGTCCCCAATAAATGACCAATACCCTGCTCAGTCTCACTCAGTTTATATTTAAATGTTTCTGAGGGGCCAACAGCACAGTAGGATGACCATATCACAATAAGCCAAATGTGGAGCAAATAGTTTTCATGTGTTGGACAATGTGGGTTACGCTAATGCTAAGAGGGCAGTCTGATAAAGCTATGCGGGTTGCAGAGGATGTGACTGACGGGTACAAATCTATATGCACCTTTACAACCAATTTTCCAGCTGTTGCTTTTTATTTTTTTAATGCAATGGTCTTGGTTGGCAGTACTTGTTTAATATTTGTTCTGGTGTTTCATCTGCTGTTCCCCTCCTAATAATCTTTGTGTTGAGGAGGGATGCGCTGAATAAATTAATTTTAGCACTGGACAAATCAACCAGATTACATGTATTTGAGGTTCAAATGAAAAATGCATAGTTTATTTATTGATTCTACTCTCTCAAAAGGGAAATTGCAGTCTAGTGCCAGCAAAAACACACCACATAACTTTTATTTGTGGTAGATTTCGTTATATAGTCAGCCAAAAGCCAGACCTGTGCTGTGGTGAATTGGAGCCAATTCGAAATGTAGGACAGGAGGTGAAAAATAAAAACATTGTGCAATCCTGCATAAAGTAGGCCACTTGGTCACTCTAAATGAAACTGAATACAGCTCTTTGGTTTTATTCCTTACGCTTGATTTAAAACAACACCACCACACATTCTTTATTTATAAGGCTTGCTTCAATCTTACTAAATGCTTCTCCATTCATAAGGTGGTGGGTCTTTTTTTTGTTTTTTCAGTTAACACAGCATTAGGGGTGCAACGATACACAAAATTCACAGTTCGGTTCGGTTCGATACTTTGGTGTCACGGTTCGATATTTTTTCGATACAAAAAAAATGTTCATGCCTTTTTAATTTGTCATTTATTAAAATTATAAATATATATTTTAACACAAAAGTACAGTTTTTAAATTTAACCCTAACCCTTGTGCGTGTTGTTTTTTAGCTCGTCATATTGCAGCCACAGAAATTCTTTTGTCCATGAAACCATAAAGCTGCACTTTCTTTTTGCCTTATAGTCTGATTTGTCATAACTTCTCCGTTTTGTGGTAAGCTTTTCTTTGGCTGTCACTTCTTCACCCTGACCTGTCTTATTTGGCTCAGCAGAACTAAAATATATATCTGTCTGTGAAGGTTCTCAGTCATCCAGGTCATCGTAGTGAAATATATATCCTGCCGCACTCACATAAGCTCAGCGATTCTCTGCGCGATCAACCTCTCACATGTTTAAGCTGCGGGAGATTTCACTTGTCATGTTTGCATAGTAAGCTAACAATTAATAAGACGATGTCAGAGGAATTGGTGCACAAATTATCATCACTCACAGATCAGTGCTGTCGCTCTCTATACACAGTTCGCGCGATTGCAAAGTGAAAGCAAAAAAACAAGCGCAAATTCAAACACGATTTCAATATGTCACATATTGACAGTGGCTCACCCAATGACATAATTACCCAGCTACATTTCTGAAAGAATGCAAAAGCATTGACATATATTTTTCCTTCCTACAATAGCCCGACAGGCAGGGCAGAGATAGCCCCGGGACGTCGGGCTAGCGATATTGCAAGCCCTGTATCTGATTGAGGAATCACTCATCTTTGGAAAAGAGAGTTTATTACAGAGAAATGTCTCTTTCCAAAATAAAAGCTATACTATCCGCTTCTTCTGGGCTATATTCTCAGCAGCATATTAAACATATCAGGTCTCCATAAGGAGAATCCTGTGCTAACAGCTGTCTAAATGACTCGGCTAAAGTTTGTAGCATGCATGCTTGTTGTTTTTGTCTTTGCACTAGGATGATGTCGGTGTAAATGTGCAGTCATATTCGTTGTGTTCCCACTAGTGCTTTCAGGTTAATCTCGTTGAAATAACCTTAACGCCACAACACGGCAAATCTCCGTTAACGAGCTACCCTATACAGAGGGGCTAGACGGCCAACACGTTAACGAGCTAACTGCGCTAACACACTAGCTCCCACCCATGTAATTGAGCATTGCATGGCACATCCAACATACTGTTTTACTTTAGTCCATGACTCGCTTACCTTCAGGGTCATACGTCACATGAAAACCAAAATAATTCCAAACGCCAGATCTGAATGAGGGTGGGGAGGTCCACTTCTGTCTCGCTAGCTTGCCCTGCGCTCTTCCTTCTGACCATGCTGTCTGTGTTGAGTGCTCAGTGAATCTGCGTTCGACTACTCCGCCTAGGCTGCACTCTCGAGCCTAGGCGGAGTAGTCAAATGCAGATTCACTGAGCGCTCAACACAGACAGCATCGTCAGAAGGAAAGTTGATAAAATAAATTACAAATTTTGTATTGTTCTTTTTTTTTTCTCCCCTTTGGTTTTCTTTCTTTCTCTCCCCCTCTTTCTTTCATTCTTTCCCCCTGTCCTATCCCACAGTCATGTCTGTCCCGTTTGCAACTGAAAATAAAATAAATTCATAATTATAATAAAGGTCAATCAAATGGACCAATATGATGATCCACTTAAAATAAATCCTCTTGGCATCTTTCTTGGCCTCAAGACAACAATTCTGATGGCTATAGATCCAAACGGGACACAAAAAAAAAAAAAAAAAAAAAAATTGTATTGTTCGATACATATGCGTACCGAACCGAAAGCACTGTATCGAACGGTTCAATATCGATACGAATATCGTTGCACCCCTACACAGCATGTCTTTGTAATGCTTGTGATTTCATCTTTGGAAAAGTTGCTGCTGATCAATACTTATAACTCATAGCAGAATAAGTTAAATTCTGTCAGCGCATCTAGGATTGTCATGTTTAACAGGCTAAAATGAACTGCAACCTCAAGTCATTTCTCCTTGTTTGCAGGCAGTTGAAGATGTGAATGTAACGTTTGAAGACCAGCAGAAGATCAATAAATTTGCCAGGAACACGAATCGGATGACGGAGCTGAAGAATGAGATATTGGAAAAGAGGGTGAGTGTTACCGGGGCTGGGAAGACATGTTTTATAGTCTTATATCCGAGTAAGGATTTAGCGTTCAATTAAATTTACAAAAGTCAAATTACACCCAGATGTGAGTTTTTATATCTAGATAAAATTATTACATTAAATTCAAAATGACAACTGGCACTCTGATCAGGAAGATTGAACTGGGCTAATGACTGGAGGAGAAGTCTGACTATTTAGCTTTTTATTTGAATGGGCTTGTGTTTGAATTCAACACAAAGTAGACTCATTCCTTTGTCACTTGTGCACTGGTTTCACTTTCTAGCCTAGTTGCTGGAAAAGTGACTTTAATTAGTTGTCATTATGGAAGCTAAACATTGTGTTGCTGGTGAATGATTGACGAATATCCATGGAGATGTTTCTAATGAGCTTACTTTAAAATTACCCCAGAACCGACTCAATCGATGTTCTCATGTCCTGGGATCTCCTCCCAGTTGGATATGCCTGAAATGCCTCTCCGAGGAGGTGTGCAGAGGGCATCCTAATCAGATGCCAGAACTGGCTCCTAATGATCAGCAGAGCAGCAGCTGTACCAAGTTCCTCCTGAGTAACTGAGCTCCTCATCCTCAATCTCTAAAGCTGAAACCAGATGCTGTTATGAGGAAGCTCATTTCTGTTGCTTGTACCTGATCTTGTTATAGGTCAGTTTAAGAACCAGTTGGCCAGGGAATTGACAGCTTCACCTTTATGCGCAGCTCTTTGTCAGATAGCTGCAGATGCTGTTAGTCCCTCCATCCTAGATCTGAAGGGTAATGCATTAATGTTGTTCTTCTTGTGAGATTTAAATCTTGCGAGATGTCTTTCAGGCATTCCAGAATAAAGGATTCATTCAGGATTTTGTAGAAACATTAGTAGATGAGTTGTTTGCCTGCAGTTGTCAAATTCCTTTTGACTTCAGTAAATCATTACAGTATTGAAGAAACGCAGAATAAACCTCAAATCCTTCACATTTGTATTCTAGAGAGAAATGTATGTGAAAAGTTTGGCTTGCACCATATTCTCAGCCCCTGTGTTGTCCCTGTGTGTTGTTACCCACATCCTCATCAGCTGTGGTCAGCTGTGAGCTGCTAATTTGCTGTGTATACCCCCCCCCCCCCCCCCCCCCCCCCCAATTCGCAACATCAAGATAATTTAACATTTACAGTTCATCCAGTTTTGTTGTTTGAATGATGCATTACACAAACCGATCTTGAACTGTGATGCTAAATGACGCCTAAACTACCGAGGTTTATATGCAACCACCTCAAACTGACTGACTGTGAATGTCTTCGTGCAGAAAACTCTTCAGAACCTTCAGGATGCCAGTGATGACCTAATGCTGTTTGACGACAACTCTCTATTTATCCCTTATCAAATCGGCGACGTCTTTATAAATCACTCCCAGGACGAAACGCAAGAGATGCTGGAATCCGCAAAGGTAAGTGTAACGCAGACGGTTTCCCAATACCTTTTCTAAATCACTGTCTTGTGAGCTTCTTTTCAAATTTCAACGGCTTTTATCGATCACGGTTTGTTTCAAAGACATTCCTTTCTGTAAACACAAAGATTTGTCCTTGTCGTGTCATTCCTTTGTAAGTCAGCTTATCAGTACTGGAGGCCAGTGCAGTCCCAAAAAGTTGAGGGAAAAGTGAATTTTGCATGCTTTTTGCTTTCTCGAATGTGTTGTTGTGCAGAGTTGAAAATATCGTTGCATGCACAACATTCAGAACTCATCTAAACAGACTCACTGAGCACAGTTTGACAAATGTGCCTGTTGTGTAGTTTATAATTACTTTCAGAAGTGCGTGGACAAACAGTGCTAAATGCCTGTTCATTTATACCTACTGCTTACTAGCTATGAATCACAATTCATCAAAACTGTGTCATGTGTTTTGCAGATATGAATATCTTGTTTGCAAAATGAAAAAACGGCAACTTTGTCAGTCAAATCTAATGTATTAATTCCAAAATCTCTTAAGACCAAGAATTTCTTCATAAATCAATAAGGATTTTGAGTCTTTTCATCACTCAGACCTGATTTAGACTTATACATTTATCTGATAATACATAATTTAAAATAAAAGCATTTGTTAATTGAGAGTATTTTTAGAAATGCTCCACTGGGTAAAGGATTTCTCGCAGTCCTGCTGTTATGTCCAAAAAGCAGTCATTGTTATCTGTGCCTGACAAGTATTCATAATTCAGTTCCCTTTCAAAAATTCCCATTTTACAAAAAGTACAAGTCTAAGTTTCAAATTTAGGTTTGAGAGCTTCCTGACGCACCTTTTGGAAAGACGTGTAGCAATGGCAGTGCTCTGTGGCTGCTACATGAGAGACGTTAACCAACAGGGACTTCAGATTAAACCTTCTCCCTTCTGTAATTTCCATTATGTCTCCATTTGTCCTTGTGTTGCTGTGACTTTATCACAATAGGACATACTGCACAGCCCTGAACTGATTGATTGAAAGGAGTCTGCTGCAAACCTTGAATGACAAATGTGTCGAAGACAGCTCAGTCATTATATCGGCAGATTATATTTTAATGTGGATTTATATCAGTCATTTTAGATGATTTCTTACCTAAAATGATCTCTTTTAGTGTTTGGAATGTGCTTTTGATGACATAAATAGAGTCATTTGGTGAAATCGGTTTGGGAAATGTCTTGTGTCTGTTGCTTGCCTGCTGTGGGGAAATTGAACTGGCTGTTCTGTAATTGGAGTTTCTGTGTTCTGTAATCAGGAAACACTGGAGCAAGAGGTCCAAGACCTTGAGAAACAAGTGTCAGCGATACAGCAAGTGTTGAGTGATCTGAAGGTGCAGCTTTATGCCAAGTTTGGTAACAACATTAACCTGGAGGCAGATGAAAGCTGAGCAGTGAAATGGACTTTGACAGTTGCCCCAGTTTGGACTTTTCCACAGACCTCCTGTATCGGCTTCACAACACCCCCCCCCCCCCCCCCCCCCCCAAAAAAAAAAAAAAAAGATTTCTTACGTTTGGTAGCATCTTTCATTCATGCCAATAATGTGTCTGCAGTTTTGTGTTGTCAAACATGATCACAAGGTCATCAAACAAATGTTTTGCGCAAATGAATAAATGTACTTCATTTCTAATGAATTTCAAGTGGTCGCATAATCAATTTTTTTTCACTGAACTGATTACAAATTTGCTAGAAATTAAAATATTACAAAGCTCTTTGTTCTTTTTACAGAGTCTGAAATGCAGCAAAAGGATTTGTCATTTTTTTACTAATGTCAAAGGTAGGACAAAATGTTTGTGACACACTGGTGTACTTGTCAATCAATAATTTAGAGTACACTGATTTGTACTCTTTGCAAAGTTTTGACGTCATTCTCATCAATCATTAATTCATTCTGTCTGAGAGTTTTCGAGTTTGAAACGATAAAAAAAGCGCGTTTTCAGCAAATGACGCTTTGCTGAGACCCGTAGTCGCAGGCTGAACGAGTGTGTGAATATAGAGGTCTCTGCTTTAATAAGTAGCCATACGGTTTAGATGCAATTTAAAACAACATGCAAGAAATCTGCCACCACATCCACAAAACACAGTTCAGTGGGGCGTCATTTTTAAAAAGGTAAAAGGAACTAGCCACTCACTAGGTAACACAGAAGTTTGATTTTTGGGTGTATGTTGAAAATGCTGATTACATTATCAGAACAAGAAGACTGCACGAGAGTGAGTGTATTTGTTGTTGGAGGAGGGGGGCGGGGGTAGTATAATCTAGTACCCAGTTCAAACTGAAATGCACTTCATTGATCTGTAACAATTCAGCAGAATTAAAAGATGAATTATGTTGTCTTTAATGTCTTTCCTCCATTTTAATCCAGCATGTACAGTGTTCTGGATGGTTGGTGGCTCTCACAAATATCAACAATGCACAAACCTCATTAAATTGTGCCCTCAAGTGTGGCCTGCGTGAGCTAATAAAATGTCTGGGATGGAAAAAAAATAAAAGAAATGGAGAGCTTGGAGTTATAGCAGACACCTCAGGAGAATCGAGATCTCAATTAACAAGTTCCCCTCCCTGTAGGGTTCCTGCTGAACATTCATAGCTATGATTAAGAGGAACACTGCCCACACAAGCTTGTCTTTATGCACAGCTTGTTAAACCTCAGGCTCAGAGGAACATGCATGGAAATGACTTGAGTTATTTCCCTCATGGCCTTGTTTACTCAGTCTCTGCCCCTTCGCCCCCCGCATCTGTTCGTTTTTACCTGTCCGCTCATTCCCTCGCTTCCTCTCAAATGACGCACACGTTGATATTTATCAACCGCGCTGCTGGATTGATAGCTTTTAAAGTGGCATGATTTGGAGTGAATATTCAATCAAGGTCGGGTATAGTCTGCCAGAATCTTTAGATTCATTAGTGTTTGGACACAATTTCAATAGGATGAAGTCTGTTGTTTAATTCACCAAACACTGTCATCTTAATTCCTTTATTTGGAGGAAAATGATCTGAAGTTGTGACTTTAAATAAGGTACATATATGTAGTAGGCTCTGCTTCCTTTGATTTAAAGTAACAGCAAAAACATACCAGTGGGTGTCTCTAGTTCCCCAGTAATTTCAGTGAGCTCGTATCTATAAGTAGGATCGAGATGAGCTTTCTGAGATCCCTCAATATAGCTGCGCATTGCAAATATACGTCCAAACATGCTCACGTCATGTCTCCTGCAGAAGAATTATGAATGAAACGTAAAATAAACCAAAACAAAAACAGCAGTATGCACCTGGGACATCATTTTCCCATAAAAATCAATTGCATGCATTACATATACGACAGTTTGATTTGCCTGCTTTCTAAATAAAAAAAAGAAATAGTTGTTTGAGCGGGTATCCCTTGTTTTTCCATGAAGAGTTTGTGCACACTTTATATCATTTTCTGCGCTGGTGCTACAGTGAAAAATCGTGTTTGCTCACTGTCTCTGTATGTTAGCCTAAATGTCAGGAGAGTCAACCCAGACGGTTTGAAAAATCCATAGCAGCTACAGCCATTCTTCATCACTTACAGCTGTTCTGTCTCAGCCAGCTTTTATTCATTACAAGGGGGAGCAATCCAGCCCCTCTCGAAAGCACAATGCAGCGTGCTGCTTGTCAAATGGCAGGCGGTTCAATAACACAATATTACATGAATTTGCAAAATTAAAAACCCTGCAGTACATCGTGTTGTTATTTTGCTGTTGTTATTAGCATACGGGTCTGCTTTTTTTCCTCTCTTTTAATAGACTGGAATTATTTTCTCTGCGACAATTCACAGCAAATGGTGAAAGGAAAGGGAGTAAGATGGCAGGAAACCAGAATGCTTGGCCAGACCTGATTGGGGGGGGGGGGGGGGAGTATTAGGTTTGCAGAGGTGATACAAGTATGTCGTCTTTGTAGAGGGCGTTTTGATCATTTTGGGTGGTCATAGGGTCTCTAAACGGGCTCGGGTTTTGAGACGTTCACAGTAAGTTTGTTGGAGGAGTGCTAAAGGAATAGTTAAATTCAATTTTATTTATATAGGGCCAAATCACAACAACAGTCGCCTCAAGGCGCTTTATATTGTAAGGTAGACCCTACAATAATACATGCAGAGAAAAACCCAACAATCATATGACCCCCTATGATCAAGCACTTTGGCAACAGTGGGAAGGAAAAACTCCCTTTTAACAGGAAGAAACCTCTGGCAGAACCAGGCTCAGGGAGGGGCGGGGCCATCTGCTGCGACCGGTTGGGGTGAGAGAAGGAAGACAGGATAAAAGACATGCAGAATAAATTGATTGTATATGTTTTTTTTTAAGTAGGTGAAAGGCTATACGTGTAAAACTGAGGATTTTATGATGACCTAGCAATGTGAGCACCTGTGTAAAAGTTTAGGTTTGGATTTTTTTTTTGGTTAGAAAAGAGTGGGACAGCAGCACCTGTATAATGAACATTTCTAACTGGGATAGAACAGTGTTATTATGTTAATGATAGATTAAATGGCTAAAAGGTAAGATAGAAAAATAAACAAGCAGCTCAATGCAGTCATTTCTATTGGAAGCTAGGATGCAAGTAATTAAAAAGCAAAGTGTCCAAAACTTGCAAACTCAACTGCAAAACTGTATAGACGACTACTAATATAACCCCAACACCGAGTCCTTACTTGAAAATGATGGTACGAATTAGGAGAAGATCCTGGAAGTGTAGACGCTGGTGGCGGACTTGGACGAGGCCTAGAAAGGTGTCGTGGTTTCGCCGTATGGGTGAGAAGTTCAGCCATCTGGGAGGGGCTCAGAGTAGAGTCGCTGCTCCTCCACATCGAAAGGAGCCAGCTGAGGTGGTTCGGGCATCTGACAAGGATGCGCCTCCTGGGTGAGGTGTTCCGGGCATGTCCCACCGGGAGGAGGCTCCGGGGCAGACCCAGGACACGCTGGAGAGATTATATCTCTCGGCTGGCCTGGGAACACCTTGGTGTTCCCCCGGATAAGCTGGAGGAGGTGGCTGGAGAGAGGGAGGTCTGGGCTTCTCTGCTTAGGCTGCTGCCCCCGCGACCCGGCCCCGGATAAAGCGGAAGAAGATGGATGGATGGTTTGGCCGTATTGTAAAGAAGCACTGACTGAGGACAGAAACATAGGCAATATAGTCAATATGAAAACAGTGTATATCTTGGTAACAATGGCAAAAATTCACAAAAATATGAGAACTTAAATTTCATATCATAGATTCGACATCATTTTTGCAAGAAAACTGGGCTACTCTAAAATGTCAATTAAAAACGGAATGCAATGAATTGCATATCTCAAATGATTTTAGTCACAATAGTTCATGTTTAAACTGACAAAGTGTATCATTAAAACACCAAAAAAGGTTATTTTGAATTTAATATCAGCTTCTAAAAAAGTTGGGATAGGGCCCAAGTTAGCAGATGCATCCCCTCTTCTTTTAACAGCAGTCTGTAAATGTCTGGAAACTGATGCGACCAGCTGCACGACTTTCGGGGAGGAACGTTGTCATATTCTTGTCTAATACAGGTTTCTAGCACCTCAACAGTCCTGAGGCTCCTTTGTCATTTTTTTCGTTTCATGATGCTCCAAATGTTTTCAATTAGTTAGAGGTCGGGACTGCAGGCAGGCCAGTTCAGCACCTGACTCTCCTACTACAAAGCCACACAGTTATAATAGCTGCAGTACGTGGTTTATCATCGCCTTGGAAAGATGCTGTCTGGATGGGAGCAGATGTTGGCCTAAAACCTGTATATTTCAACACCGATGGTGCCTTTTCAGATATGCAAGCTGCCAGTTCTGTGGACACAAATGCATCGCCATACCATCAGAGATGCAGGCTTTTAAACTCAGTGCTGATAACAAGCCAGATGGTCCCACTCCTCTGTAGTCCAGAGGATGCAGTGTCCTTGTTTTCCAAAAAGAATTTCAAATATAGATTTGTCAGTTTTCCACTTGCACTAAATGAGATTTGGCCCAGAGAAGATGCTGGTGTTTCTGGATTATGTTCACATATTGCTTCTTCTTTCCACCATAGAGCTTTAACCTGGATTTATGAATGGCACGGTGAACTGTTTTCACAGATACTGGTTTCTGGAAATTGAGGACAGTTTGAATACAACAGCAAGAGTTACATTCGCTTTGAATGTGTGGAAATCACAAGCCTTGGATTGATATGAGGCTATAAAAGCAACAACAAAATTGTCTCTCATTCAGAATAACTTTAGTAGTACAGTAGTCCACACCTCTGTTTGTACACAGATAAGTTTCTGTTGTAATTTCATTTAGAAAGGTGGTGTCACTACAGTATGTTATCCTTGATTGACCAATAGGCACGCCTCAGCAGAATGCTAGCATTGGTGTCATTTCTTTAAGAAAAAAAAAAAGACTTCAGTTTTGCCGCATTATCACGGCCATTTTTCAGAACCTGCTGTTATTAAATATTCCTGCTGTTTAGTTCAATTCATTCATTCAAATTTGCTGCTTGCTGCCCCCCCGGCCAAGTCGGAGGCAATTTACGTATGATGGGATTAGAAGGAAGTACAATGGTTCTGCTGTGAACCCTAAAGAATAGCAATAATTATTATAATTTCTTTATAGGTTCATTAGATGAGATAAAGATTTCTGTAAGTAGGAGAGTTTATCTCACGCAAACCACCATTACACACGCCTGCAGTGATTTGTTCCTCGGTTGGATTTGAGATGATTTCTCAGTCGATTGCAGATTAATCACAGCTAATTTAGAGGTTTAATGCTTTGCTCTTATATTATTACTCAAATATGGTTGATTTTGGACTGTTTGGATATTTGAATACATCAGTGAAGCATAAAGAAATAGCGGTGGTCAATTTATATGCCAAATAGTTAACTGATCAATCAGAACAATTACCAAGCAAAGTGAAAACAGTAACAAGTTGCAGCCTTAGTCTTACACCGTTCTGCCTTTGTTGTGTTTCAGTCAAGTAGATTGGAAAGCCCAACTGAATTTCTGAATGATGGGACAGGATATAAGAGTCCTTAGCCTTGACAGCTGCAGTGAAATGCATTATGAGAGAATGTCAAGTAAGCTATATCATGGGGATTAAGAGGGAAGGCCTAAAAAGCACAAAGCGAGATTGAGTGCAGTGAAGAGACCTCGTGTCGGGGGCTGCGAGAAGCACAATCCAGGTATGCACCTGTGTCAACAAATGTCACAGATCATTTAGGAGGCAGCGATAGGGCACACAGCTCAAACTGTAGACGGCACGCTAAGTTTTTGTGAGACTTTTAAGACTAATTAATTTGATGGTAATGAATTCCTTCACTTCCTGTGGACAGGGACTCTGGACCGCATTATG